GTTCGCCCTCCGTCGACCGCCGTGAGATCTCCCCAAACCTCACCCTCTCCCCTCCTCCTCCCCTCCCCCACCCCCAGCCTCAACCCTGCCACGACAACCGCCGTGAGATCTCGCCGTCGAGCTTATGATCGCGTCGTCGAGCCCCTTCCTCCTCCGTGAGCCAACTCCGGCGCCATCCGTCGACACCGCCTCCACTCTCCCCAAACATCACTCTATCTCTCCCCTAACCTCACCCTCTCCACCCTCCTCCCCTCCCTTAACCTCAGCCCCAACTCCGCCACAACACCGCCGCCACGAGATCCCTCCGTCCCAGGACCAGATCGAACTCCGGCTATCCCGATCTCTCTCTCAGGTAAAACCCCCATCCCTCTCGATCCCTCTTTTCTCTCCTCACTTTCCCGCTCCGCCGTCAATCACCGCCCGCCTCCATGCCCAGCAGCACTACTACCACGACCATGCCCGCCGCCTGTGAACGCCCAGCCCATCACCATGCCCGCCGCCTGTGAATTTTAGATATTTATCTGTGAAATTTTATAGATTCCCTGCAAGTTGTTGTTGGTTCAGATCTTTATTTTGATTAAAAGAACAAAAACACTGCTCTTCACTATGCTGCAGGTTATGGACGCAAGGAATGTGTAGCTCTTCTATTAGAGAATGGTGCAGCGGTATGAGCCATTCAAGCTATTGTGTTGCAGCACTCTGTAAAACTTGGATGAGGTGCTCAAGCTGCTCGAGAAGGATGTGTTCTTGTAATCTATATTGCAACAGTATTCGAAAGAGAGGGTGAATCATGTTTTTCCATGTATGTTATGTTTCTGGTGCTTTTGAGCTCTTCGACTTGGGGCGTCTAAGATGGAGAACATGAGTTGCTAGTTGTACTTCTTCAGGTTCACACTAGTCTTTTCTGAGAGTGAAAATTTTTAGATGTTTGTATGGATCATTGGATTGCTTCTAATTCGTTTCCCAGTTATTGGGTTGTCTTGTAATAATGATTCTGTAATAGCAGTGGTAATTGTAATATGTTAACTTACATTAAAATTTTCTTATGTGAACGTATATGTAATCTTCTTCAGATGCTCATATCTCTGAAATCAATATTGGCATGTCAGTAATGTAGATAATGTGCCAAGGTAATCTCATGGATATATGAAACATCTTAGTCGGGGTAAAAAAGAAGTCACTCCCTATGTCAATGGATAAAGAGTAAAAGTTGTATATAAATATGTGTCAGACAACTAATGTGAATGATCTAGTTGCAGGAACAAGCAAGGTAAGTTTTGTCAGCAAAGGTCAATAAAGTTGAATTATGAAAGGAAACTAGCAAATACCTTGTTCATGAACCATTAAGGCAGAGGTTGGTTCAAAAAGAACGTGTTGGCAAAATAAACTTATCATCTCTGTTCTTGTTTATTATTTTATTAATTTTGGGCTCTTTACGCAAGATAGATTACAACATTTTGGGCTCTTTACGCAAGATAGATTACAACATTTTGGGCTCCTTCATGACAGTGTTGACTGTTTGTATCACTTGTTTGAGCTAACATAAACCCAGCATGATAACAACATTTTATGCCAGGAAAATGACATAACATAAGAGAAGTACAACATATTCATTCTACTTAAAAAGATTCACCTACTCATTCAGCAATGGATAAAAACTAAAACAGAAAGATCAGTAGACAAAACAGCTCAAAAAAAGGACAAGCATCGTATAATGCAAACAGACTCATATTTTCCTTTGCTTCATACCATTAGAAGAGTTGTAAGTAAGAGAACCAAATTGTTCAATACTGGCATCTTTCTAATATGATATCAGCGATAAATTGTTCAATACAGGCATCTTTCAATACATGCTTCTCGCCATAGCCTTAAACAAAGACCTGAACTAGTTCTGAGCATACTCAAATG